TCAGTGCATCTCCCCAAGCAAGGGGAGAATGACCAGCCATCAGCTCTGGAAAGCAGGAGTGGAATCTGTCAAGTCTGCAGTGGTTGGTTAGACAGACTCGAACACGTCCTGCTTCCATTCAGTGACTGTGGTGGTTATCTTTCTCTTTATGAAAAAAAAAAAAAAAAAGACAAGCTGTCCAGCTGAATTGTCCTTTGGGTTTTGGGTTTTTTTCATTTCTTTCTTTCTTGGTAGGGCTGTGCGGGGGAGCTGGAGTCGGGGCTGCAGAGCGTACTCAGCTACGCTATGCTCGTAATCCTGGGATTTGCCATCGTAAAGGTACGGCTAAATGTTGCTATTTCTTCCCCCATGGAAAATTATACTGATCCCCACTGATGTCCTCTGACGTTTTCTTCCACCGTGTCCTTTCTTGGGATGTTAAGTAGACCCCATGCTTAACATAGTTAAGTTTTCCAATACTTAACTGGGATTTTGTAAATTACTATTCAAAGTTTGCTCTTGGACACATGCCAGTCCCAGTTAACTTAATCCCAGTTAACTTAGTCCCAGAAAACTTAATCCCAGTTAAGTTTTCCAATACTTAACTGGGATTTTGTAAATTACTATTCAAAGTTTGCTCTTGGACACATGCCAGTCAATAGGTCTATGCTTGGAAACCTGGAATCAAAATGGTCAACAAATATGACCAGGAATGAAAACAGCTGGACTATTTATAGAATTGCAAGATATGAATTAAATGAAAACAAGTAGGAAACCAAAATAAGTTGTCCTGTGGGTGAAAAACAGATTTTAAAAGTCCTGATATAAAACTTCTAATAACTGATACATCCAAGAAATGTGTACGTAGCGTTATGAAGATTTGCCCCATTTATTTCTTCTTGGTGGTTTATCATTGTACTTTTTTGCCAAATTTTGTAACCTCATCCTTATTCATAGAGATGAACATTTAATAACAGCAAAATGCCTCTCCGTTGAGTATATGTTTTTGGCTGAGCCCGTGTAGAACAATTGCTGTTTAATATCTCTTTTCTGAATTCAATGAAGAAGCAAAAATCTGTCTGCTCGGATGTCATCTCAGGATCAGGGACTTTTCTTGACTAAAATTTCCATTTCTTAATTCTGGCCCAAGAAGAGAGGTTTGTTTTTGTTGCATTATATATCATAGTATGAATTTTAAATTACTGAGAAGTTTCCATCACTTCCCTCTCCTCTGTAAAATGATCAATTTTAAACTCCCRCTAAACATCCCTTTTATTATTTCTATGATGTATCTTTCCACCATAATTTCCCCTGTGATCATCTCTTATGGTTACCATAGTGTATTCTGCTCTTTTATTTACCCATCTTATATACTTAAATATTTAATAGAATTACATGRCAAGACCAGAATAGTCACATGTTTTTACTGAAATTACTCCCATGGTAAGATACCTGGAAATTAATGTGTATGTGTAAATTAACGGGAGAATCTGGGAAAGAAAAATATGAGTTGGAGCTAGTATTCAAATGTGGCATACAAAAATCATTATCAAATAATTTTTTAATATGAAAGGCATGTTCTTGTTATGATGATAAAAGTCAAGTTAACATTGAAGTATTGGATCTGAGGGATGAAGTAGAAAGATGTAGCAAAATTAAATCTCTTATGCTCTCTCTTTTTCAGTTCTTTGCCATGCTGAGTGTCTGCGTACTCACTTGCAAGAGAGAAGACACTGGATATCAGCCTCTTTACTCGGGGGTGTTTGCTTGATAAAATGCAAAGATCCTTCCCAATGATAGAATAGATTTGTAAAGATTCATGTTAAAAGACAAGTTATGACCTTTTGGTTAAATATTTTATCTACATAAAACAGAAAGAACATAGTGTTTTGATTTGGGAAGTTTCTTGTGGGTGGTATGTGAAATGACACTCCATTTTTARTGCTGTGTAGTAGTTTATCCTGTTCATACACACTGCAGCTTCCTGTAAAGTTAATTAAAATTTACATTTGTGACTTTTTCAATGTACCAACGGATGGAATAGTAGAGTCCAGGAAGTAATCTGCTTATGCAGTTCCTTTCTGTACCCTAAAATACGCGGAGAGAATGATAATTTCTAATTACTAAATTGATTGAGAGAGCAGGAGGGATTCATTGGCTGCACAAACACCAAATTCTCCTCATGGCACGGTTAAACAGCAAAATAAATTCTTGAATAGGTGAATTGAATACTCCTTATAATTCTAGGGAGTTTCAAGTGTATCTGGTACATTTCAGGTGTATCTGGTAGCGTTTCTTTTTTTCCTTCTTGCTATGGTTATTCAGATTATTGTAGAGGGTGTTAGGGCAAGACAACACTTTGAAGCATTGTGTAAAACCTAAACCAGAAATTTGGTGTTGTCTTTTGAAGCACCTATCAAATGTGAACAAGCCCGGGTCATGAGCAGGCCTGTATTTTGGGCTTGGGGTATTACTGTTTTGGGGTTTTCTTTTTTTTTTTTTTTTTTTTTTTTTTTTTTTTTCTAAAATCTACTTACGAAGCAAGGCTTTGCATTTTTTTCCCCTTATACTGATGCTTTTGTATTTTGTGTGCAGAAAGACACACTTTCTATTTAACATGGATTTTGCAAGCATTATTCAGAGGGATACAGACTGCAAAGTGGGAGTTGCAGGAAATATTGGGTCAGTGTGATTATGTAGAAAGGGCTTTTGGACGGGTTAGTGTCAGGTCCCTGTGTCAGGGAAGATCTGGATTTTTTTTCACTGTTAAAAATATTTGGATGATACATTCCCATGCTAGATTGTTGACCAAGCAACTTAACCTAATGTCTGGCACTGATACATGAGCCTTTGTTTGCTAGTTCTAAGTCTGCTTAATATGGTAATTTCTTAGATYATCTCTTTAAAAATTACCTCTTTAAAATGATCTTTCTTTATYGCATTTCTGTGTTAATCTGTTCCTCGGTTCCTTACAAGTTTTTATGTTTTTAGGGACATCTTTTAGGGCTAAGATGTGGGGAGGGTGGAGTTTTGAGCTACTCTTGATTAGACGATTGTGGAAAAGAAGCAGCATATTTTTTTTTTCCTTTAAAGAGAGAAGCAGTGTCTCGTGTAACAAACACTTACATGTAGCTATTTAGAAACAAATAAACAAGCAAGGAGTTTGGGGTAAGCAGAAGCTSTTTTTGTTTTTCTTTATTTCTTCCCTCACCACCAACCGATGGAAGAAGGAAATGGTGATGATATTCTATAGGAGACATGCCAGCGTAAAGATGCGCGCTTTGAACGTGTTTTAATTGTTATTGAGGATTTTGTCTTCTCTTTAACACCAAAATAAAATTTATTTAACCGATTAATAAGTGCTGGTTTTGTTTGAGATGTCTCAGTCTGGGTTTCGCGTGCGTGCGTTTTGGGTGATTTAGCCCCTTTTCCGGCAAGGAAGGAGCGTTGTAACGCTCGCCCGCTCCCCTCAGCGCCGCCTTCCCCTCCTGCGCATGCGCGCCCGTTAACGGCGGCGCGTTTGAATCGGGCGGCGGTTGGGAGCGGCGCTCGGCTCTTTCCGACAGCCGTTCGGGACGGTCGTTGCTGCGGTGATATCGGGACGTACTGAACGGAGCGGAGTGTCCTTCTCGGTAAAGCCCGTATCGTCCTGCTCGCGTAAGCGATACCTTGTTATTTATATATTTATTTATTTATATTTTGTAAAGTTATAAGTACCGCGGTGCTTGCACTGGTTTAAAATTCAAGCGCAGGCGGGTATCAGCTGCGCGAAAGCTCGTTGGCTAATGAGCAGGCGACTCGCTGAATAAGTTCATTTTAGTTTTAGTTAGCTTAAAACTGAAAGCGAAATTAAAAAAAAAAAAAAGGCAAACAGAAGCTTTATTGTCAGATCGCCACTAGATGGAGCTGCGGAAATTCTAAATAATTATTAAAACAGCTCTTTAAGGCCGAGCGTTTTTACAGTACAACTGGGGAAGACACATTTCAACATTTTTTTTTCTCAGTTGTTTTCCAACAGTTTAAATACACTCACACAGGACCAAGCAGCATATAGTGATACATAGAAATATGTATCACTACACATATATACATTCTATAGTGAAGCATAGAAATATGCTTCTACCTTTCATGAGGTTTTAGAATGGAAGCATGCATTTCCSTTTCTTCTGATTACTTGTCCTTAAGCGTTGTTTAAATATTGATTGTCTGATAAGTAAAATCTCTCAGAGAGAGCTTTTCAGCAATGATTGACATAGATCCTGTTTCTTCTTTACTACAGTGAATCCCTTGGAGTAGTAAAGGCACAATGAGGTTCATGGGGTCCATTACAGTGATGTTAGACTCTGATTATTTACAGAATTTGGATATATTGCTTTGTGTAATCTAGCATCAACCRCTTTGTGTTTCCTGGTTTCATTTTGATAAATAATAGCTGCTGTATTTACAGCTCCAGCTMTGTAAAGTTCCCTTTGACTTCTTTGATAGCACAGGCTCCACTTTAAAATTCTGCTTATATGCTTTGTGTTTGCAATTAGATTTTAAGAAATGCTTTTCATTTATTTTTTTTTCCCCTCCTTGGTAGGACAGTAGAGGAATATGGCCTCYTCAGAGCTGGAAGATTTATGCTTCCACATCAACACTAAGATTTCAACTATCAAAAAGACTCTTCAATTAAGAAACATAGGTAGCAGAAACTAAGAATGGTTTTTCATTTGGTTTGGGTGTGCTGGAAATCTGTCTACCTCAAGGGGCATTGAAATAGCCATCTGGTCTGCCTGTCTGCCTCAAGCAGACTCTTTCCCCAGGAGGTCGGTACCTCTAGCTTTGCCAAGCAGAGGGTGGTCATGATGGAGAACAGGGTCCTCGTGGCCAAGTGGCTGTGGGAGCCACACTTAAGAGCTCAGTCCTCTGCCTGCRAGCTGCAGTGGTTGTAGAAACAGCTTAGTGCCCTACAGCATCATGYGAGAGGAGAGCTTATATTTCTGCAGCTGACCAGAGAATACTGCCGCTTCCCTAGAGAAGATACAGCCACTGGAAAGGACGTGGGCAATCAGACCTCATGGGAAAGGAGAGAATTTTTTTTTCCTTTGGTGGTGGTGATGATTTGGCTTTTTGGATTTTTTTTTTTTTTTTTTTTCTTAACATTCATTCCTTCCCAGGCCAAGAACCATCACTGAAATCTATGCTGAGCAAAATAGGACATGAGATGGTTCTCTTAAATGATCTCCTGAATAAAATGGAGATGGAAGTTCAACAGCAAGAAAAACTGAGGAATTTACTCAAGGTAATCTCTTTCTGCTTGTAAAATACTTACAAATTCAAAAATCTTTGAGTCCCTAGTTTCTAGATCCCAAGTGATATGTTTGGATTCAAGAGGCATCTTACATGTGAAAAAGCAACTTGGCTGCAATGGTGATGTCATGATCAGATTAGATTACTCTGTTACTGCAAATCWTGCCAGTAGGATCAGACTTGGATCAGATTGCTCTTTCTTAGTCAGGTCAGAAATAGCATTATTCGTAGAAAGAGGAACTTTCCTCTTGAATCATTTTATTCTTCTATAGAAAGAGATCTGCTGAGGTGATAGGAAGTGGACGTAATCACCCGCATGTCTGAGGCCAMAGTCAGAATTCAATTGGCACATTGTGCACTCCTTTAAATCTTGTTACTCAGATTTTTTTTTCCAGTGGGCAGCCRTTGTCACTTCTGCCATTAGCAATATATGAAATAGCTTGTCCGCATGTTGTGGTAGGCTTCAGGTAGGAGTACCTATGCTGATGCTTTTAGTGCTTTTGCAATGGTTATAATTGTATGGTTATAATATAATGRTTATAATTCTTTTATGACAACACTGTTGCATTTGCTGTTCTTAAAATTTATTGTTAGTCAAATGTGGTAGAAAAGAATTTACATGGAAGTAGTGAAAACTAAGAAAAAAATCTGGAGATACTCAGGACAGTGACAATCTACCATCATGTCAGAACTATACACTGATAAAAAATGGATCCATCATATAAACCTTCTTCTGTGCTATAGTTCTCTTTGTTGTTGTTGTTTTATCTTTTTAGTATAGTAGTTCCAGCAATGTTCATATGTATTCTTGTTGGCTTAATTACTGAAAATTAAATCTTTTTTRCAGGAGTTGCTGGCAGTAATGATAGAATGTGACTTCTTTAGGCAATTGTTTTCTTTGGAAGTGAGGATGTCGTTCCAGACTGCTGTCAGGTGGAAGGATAAACATTAGAATGAAGCAAAACTATTAAAAATTAAATAGCTGTCTCTGCAAAGCTGTAGTAAAACTCTCGGGGAAAATGATGATACGATCAGCAGCGTATATAGATGCTGAGAGCTGTCAATCTAAGAAAAAATATTTGCTGATTTTAGGATTGGGGTGTGGCATGGCTAACGTCTGTAAAATCACACAGTATGCCGCTTTGTGGCAATTCTGTGCCATTCTGCTAGTAAACTATATTTGGCTTGCTACAACTCTTAGAGCAAATGCAAGCAGAATTTGTGAGCCTGGCAGGAATCAGTGATTCATAGAAGACACATCTGCTTTGTGAGACAAAGCAAATAAAGATKATTAAAAATGGTAGTTGCTGTTCAGTAAAACATAAAAACCTGTGAAACACTGTGCTACTAGTGAAGAGTGCTGCTCAGACACATGCCTCTTGTATTTAAAAGATTTGGGTATCTTCATAATACCTTGCTGGCTATAGATAATGACGTCTGAATGGCTTCCTGTTCTCTCTTTTTGAATAAATATTTCTGCTGCTGTATTATTCCACATGTGGTGATCACAAACCTTGAGAGAATCAGAAATTATTCTCTGTAGTCCTTTGCTTTTTGCTCTTGATCTAAGTCTATATTTTTTAGCCCCAATGAGACCCTTCCCATAATACTGTTGTTTGTGTATTGATATCAATGTAGTTATAGGAATAGAAAGCTAAAGAAGTAACAATTGCCCATAAAACTTTCTTTTTCTTTTTCTTTCTTTCTTTTTTTTTTTTTTTTTTTAATAAAGCTGGTACTTCGAGCAGGCTTACTGGAAGATTAGGATTATTAAGGAACTCTCTAGCACAATTAGCACAATGAACACCTATAAAAACCAATTCCTTCTGCTCTTTGGGGAAAAGTTGACAAGTGTCACAAACTTTAACTGTAAAAATGCTAAGCATGTTGCAAGTAGTGTTGCTCACCTGAAATGATCAAGTCYTGAAGAAGACCTTGCTGTGCCTGTCAATCCCCCTGCCTTATATGCAACTGGTTTCCACATAATGGTGGTGGCAGAACCCTTCTGCAGAAGTGGGTTAGGGTGACAGGACARAGGAACAGCACAGGCGATGAGGAATCACTGCCTGAAAACATCATTGCCTTTGTGCTAAAGGACAAGAGAACTGCTTGTACCAATATAACACAGAAGCTCAACAAAGTGGACAGAGCTTGTTGGAGTTTAAGCTTAGAGTTTGCCCTGTTCTTTCTTTTCCCAAATTTAGTAGAATTATAAATCCCTTAGRCTTGAATGGAAAAACCAGGGCACTGCTTTTCAGTAGTCACATACTAACAACATTTTACTGTAATAATGCAGGTGTCTGAAAAAGGTGGTTTTATTTTTAGATTTTTGCAAAAGTTTCGGAAGCTACATGTTCAAYGAGAATATCTGCTTTAGTATGTTTTTGTATTGCCTTCATTTGTTTTCTTGAAATTACTTTTGGTAATGTAGATGAGTTTCCCAAAAGGAGAATTTCTTCTTCTTACCGTTATCATAGCCTTTTTCCCCAAACAAACCTTCTGGGGCATATTGTTGAAGATTATTACTTGCCAATTTGGTTTTCTCTGACRTTTTGAGGACGTTTGTTTTCTCATTCTTAGCTTTGCTGCTTGGTCTTCAGGAAATCAATTAGAGAACTGGGATAATGGAGAGAGAGCAAACAACACTGGTTAATCAAGTAATGAATTATTCTAGYATTGTCCTAACAGTAAACTGATTTCATTTGCATCACATTTAATAGTTTCAAATTTCTGAAGTCAAATGTTAATTTCAGGAGCTCCAGAAGTCTGCTGAGAGAGATCAAAATGAAGCACGTTGCCTCCGTGAAAATATTCCTCCCCATCTGCCTAAACCAACTGCGAGCTGGTAAGTGACACCTGAGTGTGGAGGTGGCAGAGTGCTGCAGCACTGCACAACTCTGCTCCTGTTATTGGGTATTGACTGTGAACTTCTGGTGTCTGTGAACATAGACTAATAGCTTGCTGCATACTCACCATTGCCAAATGCTGGGCAAGGAAGGAGGACCCAGGGCAACTACAGGCCAGGCAGCATCACCTCCATTCCTCAAAAAGGAATGGAACAGCTCATCCTGGCTGTTGTTTCTGAGCACATGGAGGACAAGAAGGTGCTCAGGTGTAGYCAGGATGAATTCACCAAGGGGAAATCATGCTTGACTAACCTGATCRCCTTCTRTGATGGAGTGACTGGCTGGATWGATGAGGGCAGAGCAGTGGATGTTGTCTATCTGGACTTCAGCAAGGCTTTTGACACYGTCCCTCACAGCATCCTCCTGGGCAAGCTCTGAAGGTGTGGGATAGATGAGTGGATGGTAAGGTGGATTGAGACCTGGCTGCATGGCAAAGCTCAGAGGGTGGTCATCAGTGGCACGGAGTCCAGTTGGAGGCCTGTAAGCAGTGTCCCWCAGGGGTCAGTGCTYGGCCCAGTCCTGTTCAATTTATTCCTCTCCAACCTGGATGAAGGGATGGAGTGCCCCCTCAGCAAGTTTGCTGATTATACGAAACTGGGAGGAATGGCCGCAAACTGAAGCACCAAAAGTTCCACAGGAACTTAAGGAAAAATTTCTTGACAGTAAGGGTGACAGAGCCCTGGAACAGGCTGCCCAGAGAGGTTGTGGARTCTCCTTCTCTGGAGATCTTCCAAACCTGCTTGGATGCAACCTATGTCACATACTCTAGGTGATCCTGCATGTGCAGAGGAGTTGGACTAGATGATCTTTAAAGGTCCTTTCTAACCTTAAACAATTCTGGGATTCTGTGGTATAGAATGAATCTATGGTATGATATAGAATAGTTCTCTATAAATCAGAAAGTTTCCAAAACTAAGTTTTGAGATTTCTTAGACTGGTCAGCTTTCTCTGCCCTACTGGAATTGCCTTTTGYTTTTGAGTGGTGTGAGTGTATGTCAGAAGAGGGTATCTCCCTAGGTCCTAATGTCTGGAGATGCCACCATGTGTTTCAACCCTTGTAGCTTGTCAGGAAGCAAAGCATCAGCATATTCGGATTTGTGCCCCAGTCTGTGCCCTAAGCCTAGGGGTCYTTCCAAGAGTCTGTGTTTGTGCCAGTGAAGGTCCAGCAGGTGGCACTCATTGTCCTCTTCAGTCCCCTCTGTGGACCGTGAGATGCTAGATTGGAAGAGGTGACATCGGGTGACATCCACCCACTGGATATGTGGGGTGCTGCTGTGCCATTCACTGCCTTGTGCTGTGAATGTAGCTTGAGGGTCCTGTAGCTTGAGGGCTGACACAAAGACTTGGTGTGTGTATGGTGGGGGGTTAAGGCTGTATCAAAGAATAGTACTGGCTGTTTGTGATATCTTACCTTGCCTCCCTCCCTCCCTTCCCTTTCTGTCTGTCTGTCTGTCTTTCTCTATTCTGCTGAGATTTTTACTCCATTCATGTCCTTTTATTTGATGGCAAGGTGACATTGAAATTGACCAAATGCATCCTACCCTTTGCTGTCCTGCTGCSAATAAGTGGGAGAGCAGCTGGGTGGGTAACTGACAAACAGGTCAGTTTTCAAGGTTCTAATATAAGGTTTTAGAGAAGGGGTAAATTTATAATCCCTGTTGTAATAATTCCTCAAAGTAGGAAATACCTTGGGATTTTATTGCATCTTGCCAAAGAGAATCATACAGGTTACTGGATGGTATTGAATTTATTTCAAAAGATTAATGGATGAGTTAGGCTTCCCAACATTGGGACTTGCTTCAAAGAGCTGTAAGGTATTTCAAATCTGCCTGTTAGACTGTAGCTCTATGTTCTGGCTCATCTGATAAAATGTGAGGCCTCATGTTCTGTGGAACGTAATGGTACATTGAATTCCTAACTGCTCTATGTTGGAAGCGTTTGGATTGCTTCCAATTCACCTGCTAGCAGTCTTCATTGCAGAGAAATGAAGAGCTGTAAAGTCGGCTAAAATACTGAATTTGAAAGGGATGTGGCTTTATTTTCTCGTTTTTATATCAGAAAAGATCATCCAACCTAACAGATTGTTTGGAACTTAACTTCTGTGATTGAGCAGACCTGATAACACATTGGTATTCTCCTGGTTTCTTACCTACTATTTAGACACTTAATATTCATTTACCTTACAGCATCACTGGGCTAACGGCGAAATGTGGAGAACAAACAAAAGTCACGGAACCTGAACGTGCAAAGAAATCTGCAAAAGAGCCAAGATTTATTAAAGAAGCAGCCTTAATAACTACAGAAGAATTTGAAAATGTTCCTGCGTAAGTAAGCATGGTTTTTTTGAGACCCTGTTGTGCCACTTTGGAAGGCAAACAGGTCTGGGAAGGTGAACCGAGACTGACAGACATGTTTTGAAATTWCAGAATGTTCCACAATATTAAATATCAAATAGTTCCGCAATRCAAGGACACCTGAAAATGAAGCCAATAGAGCCAATTAAGTTCTTCTTTTATGTGTATTTTGGGGAGATTGGAACTAATTAGTTAAAACTGCTTATCTGAAAAGTTAGTTTAATTTAATGGAGAAAAGCATGCTAGCTAATAGTTTAGGTTTACTTGTTTTGAGAACTGATACTAGTAAAATGAGCCATCATCTCATAAGATGAAAGATAAGCCCACATTTAAAAGAAAAAAGAAAATAATAAAGGATAATAAATGCTGTTTTAATTGTCCTGGATATTTGTGTCTGAAAAATTCCAGCTTTGAATGATCTGTTTTGATACAGGAACAGAAATCAAAGTTGTTAAAAGCAAAACTCAGCTTCTTCTGACTTTTTTTTTTTTCTTTTTTCTTTCTCCTTCCTGTCATCGGGAACTGGTTAATAAGTACCCTTGCTTAAAGGCTTCTTTGTAGGGAATAGCTTTTTCTTAAATGAGATTTTGGGGCAATGGCAAATATTTTTGCAAAAATGAGAAAATTCCWGTAATGCCTAAGGCTAAATTGTTACCTAGATTCTAAGTTTAGTCTGTGCCTTGACAACCCTTATTTCAATAAGTTTGTGGGTTTTGAGTTTTCAGAGTTCAGCTGAGCATTGTCCATTTTCTCCCACTGATTGCTCAGTCCTAAAATGAAGGAGCCTGAATGGTCTTGTATTCCTTTAGGTACTTCTTTCCTGGCAGAAGTTTGGAAAGGTGAAGCTGGAGTACTCRGGTTCTTGGCCTTTGCCTGTGCTAAGGCAAGAGTAGTAGACCTAGACCATTACAGCCAAATGTTTTAAACTCCAATTAAGGTTAGGATCTTCCCCAATAATCTCCTCAAGTGCTCTATTTTCCCTCAAGGTTTTTCACTGATGTTTGTGTTCGGAATGGGTATGGAGCTAACCAGGTGCTACTGTATTCACTTCCGGCTTATAGAAAGATTACATCTCTGACTGTTTCTCCTACTATGAAAGTATTTTTATTCAGATAGGGAAAAGWGTCTTGGTACTGAGACAGAGATTTGCATGGATTTAAATATATCCAACTACCAATGTTTTCTGTTTGTCTAGCAGTGTTGTATTATGTGACTAAAGAGTCAACTGTGCTTGCAATTTCACTTACTAATTAGTCCARTCTAAGCAGCGAATGTTTATAACTGAATCTTTCTCATTCCTACTACATTCTGTTAGAAGAATCAGAATTTAGTTCAAGTCCCAGTTCTCCTGGTCAGTCTGCACTAGTTCTCGTATAGGATCTTTTCTACCTGCTGGCAATAGTAAAAAGGAATATTGCCACTTTGTTTTCTGCAGCTGTGGTCCAGAGGCTGTTAGACTCCAATAGCGTAGTCCCTAGGCAAGTTCATCCAAAAGACTTTATAAAGCACAACAGTATGGTAGTGCAGGGGACTCCAATCCCCTAGTTCAGTATCATGGATTGGGYATCAGCCGAGAATCTCATTCTTCAGCTCTTTTCCACGCTGCTGTGGGAAGCTCCTAGCTGAAAGATCTAGATGTATTTACTACCTTTGTGCTGAATATGGATGGGAATCTAACCCAAATGTCTTTAGGGCATTAAATGGAATGTACAATCTCCAGTGACTTGATATTTTAGAACTCTGTGGCACGTATTTAACAAAACTACAGGCTGTGTTTAGGTATAGATATGGAAGTACCTTGTTCAGATAGAATATTCTCGCACAATTAAAAAAAATGCAAATTATTTTAGCCTTCAAATCTGTTCCAGAAAAGTATCTCTTCTTCTAGGAAGAAAAAAAGATATTGTACAGTAGATATCTTGGTTAACTAAAGCAGATTAAAATATGTGCCTTTATTCATTCTCAATTTGTTTTATAGGTTTTTTTTAGTGATATTTTTAGAATCTACACTTGCATTATAACATATGTCAGAAGCTAGTATCTTGGGGGAAATGTATGTTTGTTTTTATTCTAGGTATTTTTGAGGGAGCAAGGACGCTCTATTAGGATGATTATCTCTTTCTTTTTTCTGGTTTTATATTCATASTAGATCAATGTTATGCTTTTCTCTGAAGAACATATGATTGTGTTTTGATTTTCCTGCCTATGGATTGAGGTGGAAAAAATATGTTGGATTATGGTAAGGACTTTAAAAAAGAAGGGTAGATCAAAAAGAAAAAAAAGTTTCCTGTTTTAAAAGAAGTAGAATTGTGCGTTTTAAACACATATGGTTTTGGTGCAGATTTAAGATTAGTCTTAAATCTAAATTAGATGGATGAATCTTGAACTAACTAAACTAGTATGTTTTTTATTTTACTGTATGAACTGAACTAAATGTCAACACTTGTCAGGTTGTTAGCCACAGCTGGATAGAAGTATAAAAGGATCATGGAACAGCATGAGTTTGTGCTTAACTATAAGGCTCATACAGAAATAAAAACACAGACACTTTGGGCAGCATTTAGTTTTAGATGAGCTGAGTTGTGCCTTGGCTTTAACTGTTTTGGCCACATCTCTACTGACAGTGGGAACATAAATAAAGGTGGTGTTACACTTTAGACCGTAATCTGCATAGTTATAGTTTCYCCGTGACTTTATAAAAAGGATGAGGGCAACAAAGAGCAATAAATTGCAGTTAATGTATATAGGCAGAGTGCTTCCATGGTTGTTGGTTGCGTTACTAATTTGTGCAGAGTGTGACTGGGTTTCAGGGGTCATAGTGCTCCTGTTATATGAAACCTTGGTATGAATGCAGAGCGGAGGATTTATATAAAAATGACTTCACTTCCAACTTTGAATCTGGAGTTAGCAAAATATGAATGAAGTTGAAAGCTTTACTTGTGATCTAGCATTAAATGTAGATCTCTCTGCATGGTGGTTTGGATGGATCTTCTCTCAAAGGTTTCTCAAGTTCTGAAGTTTTGCGAGAGTCACTTCTCTTGGTTTGGGCTGAGCACCTCTGGGTTCAGACTTTCTTGGGTTTTAAGCAGCTTGGAGGGCAGCTTGAGCAAAAGAGCTTTGTGCAGCCTGTGTTCACTGCGTAAGGCAGAGGCTTAAGGGTCACATTGCTGATTGTGAGACGGGATAATAGGTTTAATTCTGCAAAATGCTGCTTGGCTCTTGTCTATAGTTGCTAAAGACTCTGTGGTATTTTTACTMTTGCCACACGTATTCTGATACCCATTAAAGTAAAGTTATAAGCTACACTGTATTTATAGCAGGGAAGACAATGGCCTTGACTGACTGCAAATAGTTTGGTGCAAAGTTGTTTTGAAATCACAGCAGTCGCTTTGATTCAGAGATTCTTATATATTCACTGCAGATTTTTTTGTTTGTTTTACAGTAGCAACTATTTTTAAAATCCCCAATGAGGACTTCCTTTTAGTTGTTCACTGCAGAATACCACTCCACATTCTGGTTTTAGTATATTGGTTTTAATTGATTAGCTACTTGTGTTGTATATTCTTTGCATATTTTTCAAAGATTGAAGCTTTTGCAGTCAGATTAAAATGAGGRAATAATTTCATGCTCACTGATCTCTTCAGTCTTATTGCTCTACAGCTTTTAGTCACCTGGACTGAYTGGAAAAAAAAAGACTATTTTTTTTTTAAATGAATTGTAACTTTTGTTTTCAATAGAATATTTATAACCTGCAAACTGTGCTGAACTGAATTGAAACAGCCAAGATTGATTTGTTGTAATGACTGAATGGTGATCACAGGATCATTTCAAATGAAATTATCCTCAGGACGACTCTAGCCCGACCTGCTGTTCAAAGTTGTAGGGTCGGACATAGTTGTTTAGGGCTTTAACTGCTTGTGTCTTTTAAATCTCCAAGCATGGAGACTGTGCAGGCTCTCTGGACAACCTGCTTCCTGCGGTAGAAAAGTTTTTTTCCTTATATCCAGTCTGAACCCTGTTTCGCTTTGTGCTCATTGTCTCTCATTCTCCTGCCCTGCRCCACTGGGGGATAATTCACAAATAGGGATGATCCCTTCTTTTGCTCTGCTTCCTATGCCCTTAATGCGGCCTAGGAGGCTTGTAGTTGTGTGTCAGAGCTCAGTCACTACCTGCCTTTTTTGCAGGAGTGAGTGCACTTATTCATGAGAACACTGCAGGAGTTCAGCAGGGTTTTTCCTGATGGTRCTTGTTTGTGTCCTCCTGCTTGTATTCCAGACATGTCACTGGAAAACATGCAGTAACATCTGAAAAATTACCAGAACAAATTGCTTAGATACTTTATTTAAAGTGCTAAATTTAGCCTAGGCTTTTATTGCAGTGATTTCTGGAGTTTTGTCTCGTACTTACTTTACTGTTTCAGAGTTCATTTCCATATAATTGTTCCCCAGTTGGTAGCTCTGCAATCTATTTCCTTTCCTGGAATTCATGTATTTACATTTATAAATACAGAATARCTTCACTTCTGAATATTCCACTGTACTAATATTTCTATGTTGCTTTGTTTTTTATCTTCTTGTCCTTCCTGTACCTCTAGGCTGTTGTCAGCAAATATTACTATTTTGATACTCATTATATGAAATGCTGAGAGCTCAAAAAATGATGGTGGTACTGTAGATCTTCTGTGTATATGCAGTTAAGGAGGCTGCATAGTGAAATAATAAAAACCTGATATTTCTTCAAAAAACAGAGTAATACCAGCAAGAATAAACAGAGGTGTTTTTTTTTTAATCGTACTGTTAGGCAGAAACATTTTACAAATGAATTTTTGTTTGTTTTCTCTAGTTGCTTTATTTTTCTATTTCAGTCATGTAAATGAGATGCTATAACCACGACACTTATTTCATTTTTTGAATTATTTTGGCAGGTTTTTTTTAACATTTTACTTAGACATTTTGATGTTTCATTTTCTTGGTTTAGACTTTATAGGAGTTTTTTTTTCTTCAGCATTATTAAATCATCAAAAAAAAAAAACCTCTGTTTATTCATTATCACAAAGCAGAAGGAACCATCCCTATCTAGGAAAAGCAAGTTCAGGTAGAACTTAGGAAAGAGATAAATAAACACAGAGCTTTAATTCTGAGATTTTTCTGGTTAATCATTTATTTRTTTGATTTTTCAGGTACATGAGGGGACGTTTAACATATGATCAAATTAATGCGGTTGTTCAAGACATGAACAAGGCTGTGGTTAGCAAATACAGAATCCTGCACCAGCCACTAAAATCTATGAATGCAGCTGTCAGAAATCTTTACCACAGATTCCTGGAAGAAGAAACTAAGGATACAAAAGGTACCTTTTATGTCTGTTAGCASCAAACTCGCGGAATTTGGATGTTGTTAGTGCAAGTATAAAACTACTTGAGAAGAGTTGAGATGACTTGTGGTAGTGGGTGATTTTCATGTTGTGGTTTAACCTGAAACATCACATTTTCAGAAAAGAGACAATCTGTGTGTTCTGGAAGTGGATGGAGYAGCCTAACTTGTGGGAGTGCCTGAAAACATCAGTCTTGAAAAAATTTTGGAAATCCTCCTGGGACTAATTCTCAGCTGGGAAAGAGAAAAACACAAAGCAGCCTGAAGACTTAAAAGGGCTTCCCTCCCTCCCCACGGATTGCTGAGCTCTAACTCAGCCCTCAYGCTGCTTATTCGCATTCCCTATGGAGGCACCAACAAATACTTGGGCAGCCCAAAGCAGTCAACTTTCACTCTGGCTCTATTGACTGAAAAGGGGGGCTCTCCCTTGGCATAAACTAAAGAGAATAAAAAGGAGATCCATCTCCAGATAGTATTTTAGTCCACAAAGGCTATAAATGCATGTTTTCTATGGACAACTGAATAGTCACAACTGCAGCAAAAGGACGGCTGAATAGTCACAACTGCAGCAAAAGCCCAGTTTATTCAGGTCTTTTTGTACTAGTTTAACTCATCTTCTGAGCTAGGAACAACAGAGGGATGCATGACAGGGGAAAGTGGTACCTGAAATGTCAGTATTACTCCCAAAATAATTTTAACCACTGATGCTATCCAGTGCCCAGCAGGATATTGATATCTAGATARGAATATAGATCCTGTGCCTGAAATGGTGCTGCAGCAGTTGATGAGAGGCTCGTAGTGATTGGTGTCAATAACAGTAGGCTTTGTGCCTGATCTCTGGTGCAAGAGCCTTGCCTAGATAACCTTTTAATCCTGGTGCAAGGGCTGGTAGCTCTTTCAACTCCTTTGCTGCTTCCTTGCTGCCACTTAACAGATATTTAGTTTATTTAGTACCYGCTGCAGAATTGGCATTCTTCAGCGATTGGATGGATGATGTAATCTTGTACAGGGCACTGCTTAATAGCTGCTAAAGTGGTAGAATTCAAGAACAAGGATTGTTATTTTGACTGAATAGTTTCCCCATAACTGCCTTTAGTTGCTTAATCTATTTTTACTAAAAAAAAATCACTTTCRCGGAGCGTTGTAACAAAAATTTTTTTGAATGCACAAAGCTTTAATTTAGAATTGCTGTGAATAAACGTCATAAAAATTGAAATTGCAGTTCACACAGTTTGGTTAAGGTAGAATGGACATTAGCTATTTWAAAAAATCTAAAGTTGGGATATGCAAATGATCATGCTGCAGTGGCTTTGTGGGAGAATGGCTTAAGATCTGTGTCTTAAGAGGTTGTCCTGTCTCTAGAAGCATCAGGGAGCAAAATAAGAGCAAAATGCCTCTGTCTCAATTTACAAGCTGGTTGTATCTTACAAGTTCCTTTTCCCAAAGATAAGTGCCTATCCAGTATTAGAATTTACTCTTGGACCTTCCTTTCCTTTTGAGTGCATGTATGTAATGTATGCCAGGAAGAAGAGTGCTATCCGTGTCTTGCTTGGAAATGCCCTTGGAAGGCCCTTAGGTTTCCAAGCTCAGGCACAGTGTGGAGCAAGCACTCTTGTGTCTCACAGAAACAGAGCTCTTAGACATCTCCTTGATCTCTGCTTCTTCATTTCTATTCTTAATAGAATGTTGTCTTAGGTTATACTRAAACTTTTCTTTATCTTAGGTTTTCCTCTGATCGAATTTATCTCTATTATGTTATCATGCCTTAAAATCCAGGAGCTAAGAATGTTAGATGTGGGTCACGTGCAAGGACGGAACTCTGGAACCGTGGGCATGCCTACCATGTTTTTTATTTTGAGCGCTACAGGACAAACTTGCAGGTGAAATAAATGTTGTAAAGAGCTTTAAATGTATAACAAAAACATACAACTAGAGCACTTCATGTGACCAGCCTCAGATTTGGACTCAGGTAGAGTTCACTTAGACAAGTTTTGCCTCATTCTAGCAATGTATCTTATTAAAGAAAAATTTATTGAAATATTTGTTTCACTTTCAAAAACAGCTGAACTTTGGACTCTGCGGACACTATTTTGATACTATTATCAGAGAGGAAAAGGTGGGTCAAAACCACAGAAGGAATTCCTGGGTGGAAACAAATGTCAAAATGTTAAGTTTGTTCTATGGAGCCATGAAAACAGCAGAGCTGAAGGAGCACCTAGCTCTGGGTCCTGGCAACCCTTCAGATCCAGTATTGGTGTTTGTGGTGCTGTAATGACTCAGGATGACCCTGGGACTCTAAAGTTTTACTGTGTAAACAGGTGGCCTTTTGGTAAACAAGAAGTGTACCATCCTGCTAAAGGCAGGAACTAATAGATAGTCCAAGGTGCTGGCAGAAAAGAACTCTATTTCGGAGAGATGTGGTGGTCTGCAAGCTACTTGTCTAGTTTTTAGGTGCTGTCACTCTGCAGCTTTGAGTATTGTAGGTTTGGGGATTTGACTGTCATCATCCCCAGAGAAGTAGTTAGGAGTTTGGCCTCATGGCTGTAGGAGAGAGGTTAAATGCTAAAATCATCCTTCCAACACTGTTTAGTTGGTGCTGTGGTCCTTGGGAGTATTGGTTGCAATGAGAGTACCACCAGTTAGAGAATTTTCTGTCAGATAATGCTTCTCTGGGTGTGTAAAAACTGAGCTTTTAATTCCTTCAAGTACCTGAAAGCTGTTCTTCATTTTCTGGTTTATGTTGGAAAGTTCAGTTACGAAACTAGGACATTCAGCATCTGAGAGGTTGCTTTTCTTGTGTGACTAATCATCTAGAAAGTCCAGAGAGAGCTCTGGCAGCCTGTCAGACAGTTATTTGACCTGCACAAAATGATTAAGTGTCTTTAGCCATTGCATTTTTTGGGATGAGGTTGTGCAGTCATTGATTTGTTTGCTTAAATTTCTCCTGTGAGTGTGTGTTTAGGATTCCCACTATTCCACAGACTGGGCTGGCTGCCAATTGACCTGTTTCTCCGATTTCCAGATGAGAAAAGATGCTGTCTAGYTTGTCAAGGTGACTTCCCACTGAGTGAGGTGACTTAGTGAGTTAGTTTAGTTGCTTATTTAGTGCAGGGAGTTGCTATTTCCAGGCAAACCATAACCCTTTGGCCAGCTCTGCTTTTGGAATGAATGACACCTGGGTATGCTCAGTTGTGACATGTTCCAGTTTGACTCTCTGTGAGCAAGGTGGTATGACCCCGAGCCCTTTGGTAGGCATCTAGTGCATCGCATTAATGGATGTACCTTGAGAATGGAGTATGTCCCGTTAGACATATCCCGAGATGAGCAGGGTGAGATTTAAAATAATACTTAAAAGCACAAGCTCACTTGTAAAGAAGGAATATTTCTTGTTATCTGTTAACTTATCTAGGCTGATGCTGCCTCTGCCTTATTCCTGGGTAAAAGGAAAAGAAGGAAGGTTGTTACTCTCCTTTTTCCAAGCTAGGGCACGTTTAGCCATGCTACCTTGTTTTTTTCTTTTTACAAAAGCAGAAATTATGGTCCTGTGGAAGAATACCTCATTTCCTGCTACTTACTCTCCTTAAAAATAGTTATCTGTTTCTTTGTGATACCTTAATTAGCACTTTCCCTAGTTTCAGATTGCTTTTCCTTGTTACAGTTTTGTGAAGATGCATGGTTAAAACTTTATAAAGTTACAGGAAGTATTAAATGAATAGCCATTTCACTAGATCTATAATTACTTCTCCTCTACAACTATAAGAACTGAATATAAAATCACAGAGAGTGAAATTAGGAAGAGAGAGCTTGGAATAATTCCTTCCTTTGTGTGGTGTATGCTGTYAGCTTGGGGGGACTTTCTCCTGGGATTCCTGCAGTCTGTTGCAGTGCTCTAGCTCCAGTGCAAGTCCTGGGTTCTTAAAAGCACTCAATAATGAGAGCAGAGGGATTGCCAGCTCTGCTGGAGGACCTTTCTTTTGCTATTGTCTTAGATATAGGATGCTGTTCAGATGGCTATTTTTTTTTCCTCACATTGTCTTTATAGATAAGATGTTATTGTTCCACAGATCAGGTAGCAGGCAAGGGGAGGGTAGCAGCGCAGCTTTGATGTGTGCCAGACTCTGTCCTTGGGCTGCAAAGGAGCAGCTCTACAACTTGTGTATGCTGTGAGACCATCATCAGGACACATGTTATTTTGGAGACCCTCCAAGCAATTACTTCAGATTCAAGTCATGCTGCAACTGAACTCTGTTCCATCACTGAAACACTCAATTTGTTCCCCGTTGAATTACTTTGTGAAGTTGTGCTGTGATCCTTAAAAAAACCCTGAGTTTTCTTTAGCTCAGGTCRGTGCTCAGGGTGGTACCAAGACTGCAGTACTTATGAGCAAGCACTGAAAGAGAGCCTGATGGCAGCTCATCATTGAGGCTCTTTCTGACGTGCTCTCTATTTGCTCTTCCCTGTCCCCATCCCGTAGTGGCMCAGCACCCTATGCCTTCTCTCTTGTGTTGGTTTCGGATCCGCCCTGGGCTTTGCACCCYTGTAGAGAAGCATGGGTTGCTTGAGAGGCTTCAGCAGATGAAGTTGACTACAATCAGCCTCACTTGAAGGGAGTCTGCAGGCAGAGCAGGTTCATTGTGCTTAATATAAAGGCTAGAAATCCTTGGTTTTGATGACAAATTTAGGGTACAGCTCTTGAGATGGTGAGGCCAATCTACAGCTGCCTGTGTTTTCATTAGTGTGGCGTTGTTAGAAACCGGATTGTTACTTTTGAAGTGTCAAATGTATCCTACACCATAATTAAGGTCACTTTTTGTTTTCCAGGTGAGTTCTTTATCGTGGAGGCTGATATAAAAGAGTTCACGCAGCTGAAGGTGGACAAGCGCTTCCACAGCATCCTCAACATCCTGCGCCACTGCCAGCGGCTGAGGGAAGTCCGAGGCTCCCGACTCGTCCGCTATGTCATCTGCTAGCAAGCGCCTCGGGCTCTGCCGCGCGGATACGGAGGGCTGAAGCTTGAGGCGCAACACGTTACCTTGTCCCCTGAGACACTGGGCAGAGGGGAATTTTCATTCATCCTTTTTTCTTTTTTCCCTAAAAGGAATAGTGCAAAATTTGCTCATCTTATTCTAAATTATTAGAAATATTAAATGACCTTGAAGTATTTGAGTCCTGTGCTGAAAACCTGAGAGAAACTGCCATCCGTTGGTGAATTACAAAATCAAAACAGGCAGTTGACACCTGTGGCTACAGGTGGTTTTAATCCCATTTTCAGGCCAGTACTCAAAGTCTGCAGGCTAATGTTCCTTTTGTGTTTATGAGGGAGAGAATGTATTTGAAACTGCTGCTACTCAAAGGAAGCGTTTGTGTGGGTAATTTCTTCTTTCCTCCCTTATGCCTCAACCCAATTTCCAGATTTCCTTTCCTTAATCTTTTCCTTTTTATCCTAAGTGTATGTTTTGAAATTTTCTGCATCTCATGAACAGGAAGATCTGAGGTAGTTTAAACATTTCCACACTGATGTTGTGATACTCATATGGCTCTTGTACTTGCTCATACAGATGGATTTTTTGCTCAATGTTGTCCCACCAGAAGTGAAACAGAACAGTGAATTTTAAGTGAAAATGTYGACTTTGAAAACACTGGTTAAACTCTTTAATAGTTTTTATTACAGAAGATTTTTCTTTTGAAGATCTTATTAGTGTGGAGACTTCTAGAGAGGAAAGATTGTGATAAATTTCAGCTCTGCAAGTAATCGAAACTGCTTAGACATGAGAAGTTGTGGGGTTTTTTTCTTCCAAAGCATGAGCTTGAGCTGGTTAGTAATGACAATAGGTACATCTCAAATACCTTGTGGCCAGCAATAACGCAAATGAACAAAGGAGCTTGAATGAACTATGAACCTTTTCACTAAAGGAGATTTGGACAAGTGTTAAATAAACCTGGGTTCCTGGAGTTTATTTTCTTTTTTTTATGTTTTGCTCTGGGATGCTGAGATATATGCCAGTACTATGCAGAGACCACTGGTTGTGTTCCACGTTCAATAAACACACAGCATAACAGGAAGAAGTGCAAAATCTGAATTTTGGTTTCTATAGTTGTCAGTCTGGTCCATCTGTTACTTTCTACAAAGTTTATTTTACATCAGATAAAATAGATTTGTATCCATGGACCATCAGGCCMGTTTTGCTTTATTTTTTTCCCAGCTTCACAAACTGAAGGTAATTCCATGGCCTACTTGTCCAAAGAGTCTTTGCCTTAACCAGCATGTTACTGTGTGAGAAGGTGAAGCCCCTTCGGCAGACCTGAATTTGAAATTTGAGGCAGGACCTGTGCTAAAATGAGCTGATGAACAAGCTGCTGACACAGCGCAGCCCCAGGCAAAGGCGAAGGCTTTGTCTGCGCTCTGTTGTCAAAAGCCTCTCGGCTGCCATTCCCTGCTTTGTCTGCTGTTTTTCATCCAAAATCCTTGGATGTGTTTGGCCGGAAGAGAAAAATGGATAACTAAGGGCCTTGTATTCTTTGTGCTCTTTAGACTCTTTCATACTGAACTCAAGGCCTTTTATTTAATAAAAAGAAATCTCTTCACAAAGCAGTTGCACTGGTTTGCCGTTTATTTCATGTTTATATTTGGAATTTCCCGAGCGTGCCCCAGACTGTCCTGCAGCCACTATCTATTCTTCTCTCTCCTTCCTTCATTGGACTCATCTGTCCAGCCTGCGCTGCACAGAGATCCTGTAGCTTGGGGTGTCAATAGAGAATGTAGCTGGTTATGGAGCTATTTCAGTAATTTACAGTATGCTAGTCTCTTTTCTTGGGGATTTGCTGTACGGTTAAATCCTTTTGGCATCAGTGCAGCCTACCTGCTGTTTCTAAAACAGGTGAGTCCAGCTCAGACCAGCTGGCAATGTCACTGCGTCACCACAACGCAAAGGCTGAGGTCTCTCAGAACTTTCTCTTTTTTGTTGTTGTTGAGGTTTTTTTTGGGGGTACTCGGTTTGGTCTTGRTAAACTTGCTAAATTTTTTTTCTCCTGCCTGTAATTTCTTTTAGTGTTTCATTGTGGTTATTGCATGGTTTGTGATTAATTAGATGTTGGTTAACAGCTTCCAGTCTGTTACTATGGAGTTTTTAATTTTCTAAACTATTTTCCCTTGGGCACATTCTCGCAGCTGTGCTCGGTATGCGCAGCCCCCTCTCCCGGCTTTGTTTTTGCYGTTGCTTTCCTAGGAAGAGGAATCGCCCCAGCTTTGTGGTGCTCCCGATGCCCTTGCCCCTTCCTTCCTTAAGCAGCTGATGCTGCCTGGGGAGCTGCAAAGGGTGCTGCTGTCCCCATTTCAGGTTCTCCTGATGGCTCCTTAGTGTTTCCATAATGTTTGGGACAGCGTCCATGCCGGATCACCTCAGAACATTGCAGCCCAACTCCTTCTAGGATATTTTGCTGCTTTCTTTGCCTGGTGCCTCCCTGTAGCTTTCACCACCAAGCAATGGGCGCTAGTGCTGAGTATCAGTGAGTGTTTGAAGGTCCTGCCTGATGGTTTAATGAAATACTCCTCAAAATGTAGCTGCCTTGGAGCTTTCCAGTGCTAACCCGTGCTCTTGCAAATGTGAGCTTTTCTAATACTTAAACTTTCTAAAACCAAGAAGTAAAACTGAGGTAGCACCAATCTAATTACCTGATATGTGAGAAAAAGCGAATGTTCTTCCAACAGCCTTAGCTCTGTTCTTGCTTTCACACTTACTACTGCCTTCTACACAGTGGGAATTGCGAGGGAGAGGAGCAGCAGTCAGTGAGCAAAATCACCTCCATGCATTCGTCCAGGCAAAACGAGGGGCATAACGTTGGAGAGATGGAGCCCGATACGGCGTGCCCAATGTCTTGGGCAGAGGCAAGAAGAAACCTGCCGCACTTGGCCTTGCCCGCTGCCCTGGGTATGGAGGAATTTGAGGTAAAGGAGCAGTACAGAGAACCTCTGACAGATAAAACCTCTGYTTTCTTCAAGCTGAGAGAGGCTTCCTGCCGTTGCAGTTGTGTCGAGGGATCCTGTGGGATCCGCGAGCCCCTGGGTGCCAGGCTTTGCTATACAAGGTAGCCTTGCGGTCCGAACCACAGGATGCACTGATTTAAAAACAAAGGGATTTAAATAATAAAGCAGGAAACTGTGGTTCAAATAATCTATTTTTAACCCAGTTTTGCATTTATAGATGGTATTTTTTCCCTTGAACACTGATTTTTAATGGGAYTCATCCATTAAGGCACATTGCAGATAAAAATGAAAATATGTTATATTTGGAGGGTTTTTTTGCGCAATAAGCAAGTAAGTATATACTTAAGCAGTAACAATGCTTAATATCCTTTTAATTTGGTTTACCAAAGTGCAAAAACTAAATGTGCTTCTTCATTTCATGTAGAAAGGCATGTTTAAATAAAACAACTTCAAATATGGTGTTTTTTTTTAAATAGAACCACTTTTATGTATCCAGACAGAAACATGGAACAAGTTGGTTGCTATGTGGCCTTCATTTAAGCTTGCTTTACTTAAATCWTATTTTGAACTTGAGCTGCTTGGACTCTCCTGGTAGTATCTTACTGCCGGGCTATGGTCAGAAAGTCTCGGATTGACCCATTTTGATTTTTGGCTTCTTTTTGTGCCTCACAGGGAAAATTTGCCCCCAGCCAGCCTCATCTCCCCGCCGCTGGTGCAGCCTCTCTTGCTATAAGAAGAGCAGCAGCATTTCGACTATAAGCCAGTATTTCATGTTTGCTACAGAGAAACCTAAATAATTAAATTTCCCTGTGGCCCAAGCAGGGCAGGAGCGAGCGGAGCCTCTGCCCAGGCCTGAGCTCTGCAGTCTTGATGCGCCGACAGAGCGGTTGCGAGCCGGGCGCCCAGCCCGAGAGGCAGCCCGCGGGGCCGGGCATTAATAATTCAGCCAAGGCTCTGCAAACCGCGCTAACCTTTGGGAACTGCATCAAGGTCTCTTTTCCACAAAGCTTTTCATTTTTGAAGCAGGAAAGGTTGTAATTTATGGCAGCATACGTTCCTGCTGTTTACTTCTTGATGCCTCATTAGGGGGAAGGCAACCATAGRGAAGCATGACTCCTACAGCCAGTTGTGTCAGACTTGTTAAAACTATTTAAATATTTGGATATATAATCGATCTTCTTCCAAACCCAGCTTGTCTGCTTTGTTTTCTGGCTGCTGCTCATCTGCATGGCGCTGTCATGTTCGGTTTCAGTGCTTGCCACAGGGTTTCTGAAGGCGGAGGGAGCACTTTCAGCCCGGCCAAGCACCTTGGGGAGCTGCTGGGAGAGGTTGGAAGAACTTGCCCTGCTATGAGTGTTCCTTCACCCTTTCCCATCCCGTTTCTTGTTCTTCAGGCTGCCGAGAGTCCTAGACTTTGTRGTGAGCTTGAGGCGAAAGCCCTGCTCACGGTTGGCATCTGTCTCCTTTCCGCGCGGTCGGTGTTTGTCTGGGTGCCGACGCTGACTCAGGGTTCACGAGTGCGAGACAAATGTTTAATTAAGAGTGATTTCATCGCTAGGCTCTTGTCTGCTTCTGTCTGGAGCAGCGCGGGTATGTTGGCAGTCTGCATCTAGGGTCTAGTGACCCCGTTCTGCACCATCTCTGGAGGCAAGTGGGTAAATGAAACACAAACATTAATAGGAGCTACAAAACATTAATAGGAGCTTTCCGGCTTGACTTCCCTGCTACTGCTTTGCTGCCCATCCATCCTTGAGCAACAGGACAAATGAGAGCAGAGATGAAATTTAACCGCAGGTCTAAAACAATGTATTTTTATAAATTTCTTCTCTTGTATAATACAAGGCATGATAGAAGCCAAAATTATATTTCAAGATTTCTCCCTCTTTTACTATGCACAGTGATTAATTTGCAACATCTGGGAGGGTTTTTGGCCCCCCACGCATGGTGTTAAAGCTCTTTATCTTGAGTAAGAAGGGACACCAGGCAAGGGGAGCACAGCGTAGACTGCATGGTGGCCCCATCAAGCAGCTTCCCATAGGGAAGAGCTTAAAAGGAAAAAAGAAAAGGATCCTCTTGTAACTCTGAGCTGGTCCTGTCGCCTGCGATGCRGCTGCCTTGCTGCGCGGCGAACAAAAGCCCCTGGAGTAATTCACATATTCTTCCCCATGGGAAATCACAATGATCTTAATAGAGCTTTTTAATTAAATAACATGCTGCAAGCTAGATGTATGTTTATTTGGAGGTTTTGTTTTTGCTTTGCAGCATTGGTTTCTTCCAGTCACTGGGTGGCTCAGGGGCCTTGCAACAGGCCACAACCTGCGACTGCCATGGCAGGTGGGAACCCATTGAAACTGCCCTCTGTTTGTTTCAGAATATTTCAGAATATTTCAGAATATTTAAGGTTGGAAGGGACCTCTACAGATCATCTAGTCCAACCTTCCTGCTCAAGCAGGCACACCTAGAGCATGTGGCACAGGGCGGCATCCAGGCGGGTTTTGAAGACCTCCAGAGTAGGAGACTCCACAACCTCCCTGGGCAGCCTGTTCCACTGCTCTGTCACCCTMACAGTAAAGAAGTTGCTCCTCACCTGGAGACGGAACTTCTTATGCTTCAGTTTGTGGCCATTACCCCTCGTCCTATCGCTGGCCACCAGTGAGAACAGCCTGTCCCCTTCCTCCCTGCATTCTCCCTTCCTGAACTTATACATATTGATCATATCCCCTCTGAGCCGTATTGTTACTCCAATAATCCCTGTTTCTGGGCAGAATGTGGCCAGAAACAGATTCCTCTCAGTGCTGCTTCCCCATGCGGTGGCTGCCACGACGATGCCGGCTGTGAGCGCCCCACACTGAGGCATTTATTTTAACAAAGCTGCTTGGACAGCGAATTCTTTTTTATGGTTTATTGTGGAAGCAGCAGCAAAGTGTGTCCTAAAAGGCAAGAACATGCGGGCTTAGTCTGTCCTTTCTGTCTCCTATGTTCAGAGCAGCTATCGGGGATCTGCTCTGTGTTTTCAAGAGGCAGAAGCCTCTATCCGTGATAGCTTCATTCTGGCTGCTTGTGCTGCRTCTCACACGAATAGCTTCCTTTCAGGCAAATTATCTTGATTAATGATGGCGCTGCAACACAAATCTTGTTCTTCCTTGGAC